GGGTCCGAGAAGTTCCGGGACCCCGAACCCCCCCCAGGGGGGGGGGGTCCGAGAAGCTCCGAGTCCCCAAACCCCCAAAGGGGGGAGGGGGGGCCGAAAGCTCCGGGACCCCAACCCCCCCCCAGGGGGGGGGTCCGAAATCCCAAACCCCCCCAGGGGGGGTCCGATTTCGATTCCGATCCGGCTTGACGCGGTCCGGTTTCCGACTCGATCCGGCTCGGACTTGCCGACCTCGGCCTATTTCGACTTGGCTGCCGGTTTTTGCCGATTTCTGCCGATTCGATGCTCCGGTCGACCCGATCCGGCTTATCGATTCGATGCTGGGGCCGCCTGCACTGTCGTAGCGATTGCAGGCTCGACCTATGGAAAAGCGCATGCGTATGACATGTGGGTGTTTTCCAATATTGCGCGCGTGAAATTTTGGACGGGGCAATTTTGGGCTTGGGAATGACGGCGAAGCGGGTTTACTGGCGGCTGCAGCTCGCGCGTGCCTGCGTTTGCGGGGGCGCGCCCGTTTTGCAGTCAACGAACGAGATCTCGTTTGTCGCATTCGGGGAACCGCTCGTCGCCATGACGGCGCCGCTCGAAAGTGCAGGGCGACGCGGGCCAGTGCTGGGCCCGTTCCCACTGATCGACGCGCAAGCCTTCGACGCGGCATCAGTTTGGTGTGGGCGGGTGGTTTGGCGGGCGCGCGGGGGCGCCGGAGGCCCCGCGTGTTGCGGCGAAATGGCGAAACTCGTTTCGCGCGATGAGTCTTGCGTGATCGCGGAAAGCGGGCGCGCCGACGAGGCCGGCGCGTTGCTCTTAGCAGGGGGGCGGGCGTGACGTTGCGCGCGGAATCTCGTCCTCCTCGAGGGGGGGCGCCACGGTTGTTCGGCAGGCACCGGAGGCGAGAGGGGCGGCGCAGGGGGGAGATCGGAGGAGGGGGAGGGGGCGAGAGGGAAGTATGAGTCAGGAGGGAAAGAAACACACAGACACAATTAATGGTCGATTCCCAGGAAGATATGCGAAAATATGGGAAGTGGGGGGGGAAGACAGAAACCCAGAAAGTATGAGAAGCTATGGGGAATCTTTTTATTTGTGTGTATTTGTTTGTGTGTCCTTGGGCCCCTTCAATGAGGAGGGCGCAGGAGGAAATGGAGGGAGAGGAGGAGGAGCAGGGACTCACGGGGGAGACATCGGAAAAAAGGGGGCGGGGGAGCAGGGGGGGGAGGAAGGAAGGAGTGACTTTCCAGCAAGATTCCGAGCGAATATGCTGCCGGATTCCGAGTGAAAATTCCGCCGGGTTCTGAGTGTATGTTCTGCCGGATTCTGAGTGGATATTTTTTTCGTTTTTGCGCGGGCGGGCGCGAGCGGGATCCAGGGACAGTATTCACTCGGTTTTCGTCCGGGTTCTCATCGGAGACTTCGCCGGGGTACTCGCTCAGGTATTCGCCCGAGCATTCGCCCCGGAAGTCGCCCTGGTATTCGCCCGCGCGGTTCGGCGCTTTCTGTTGCGCGGCGTCTTCGCGGCCCGTGGCTGGGTCCCCCCCGAGTCGACGGGGCGTGCAGTTCGACGGCTGCCGGGGGGCCGGGCGTCTGGACAGTCTGGCCGGGCGCAGGGCTCGCTGGCCCGAGTTTGAGCCGATCGCTGCGTCGAGGGGCCGCGGGGTTTTTAGGAGGGGAAAAAACACACAGACACGATTAATCGTCGATTCCCCTTAAAAATATGGGAAAATATGGGAAGTGGGGGGGAAGACAAAAACTCAGAAGATATGGGGAAATGTGGGGAGTCCTGTGATTTGTGTGCATTTATTTATGTGTCTTGGGGCCCCTTCAGCGGGGTTTGCAGCGCTCGCGCCAGCCGGAAGGGGGGGGGCGCCCCAATCCCAGGAGAGGAGCGCAGTTCAGGGAGAGAGGCGGGCAGAAGGATGCGGATTTCGTTGGAGTCGGCGCTCGCTGCAAGTGAGCGGGCCCCTCAGTCCACTGCGCCAGCGGACGTGAACGCCCACCTCGGCAGACGAACGAAACTCAACGCTGGAATTCAACGCGCAGCGCTGCCGAGCGCCTTGTCGACTGCCCCGCCTGAGCGGCGCCAGCCCTCCCGAGGGCTTCTCGGGGCCCTCCCAATGTGCCCCGAGAGGCCCGGCCCTCTCGGGGCCCTCCCAGGCCGCGCGATATCTACGGGGCACATGGGCACCGACGGTATCGCGCGGCCAGCGAGGGCCCCGAGAGGGCCCGGGAGGGCTCCGAGAAGGCTCCGATCATCCCGAGATGCCCGCCCTCCCAATTGCTGGCACAGAGCTCCCAGAGGCCATCTTGGGCCCTCCTAGGCCGCGCGGCGCCGTTGTGCCAGAAAGTTCTGGGGCGGCGTCGTTGGGGCCCGCGCCCCGACGGTGTCGCGCTGCCCGGGAGGGCCCCGAAAGGGCCTGGGAGGGCCTGGGGAGCGCCCCGCGAGGGGCCCAAGATGGCCCCCGACAGCCTCCGCAGAGCTCCGCTCCTGGCCATCCCAGGCCGCGAGGTGTCGCCGGGGCGCGCGCCCGCCGAGGGCAACGGCACGACATCGTTGGGACGGGGGCCCCGACGGTGTTCTGCCGCCCGGGAGGGCCCCCGCGGGTGGCCTTCCCGGCCCCGCGCCGCGCTGCGGTGCCACGATCTATCAGGCGGCGGTGGTAATCTATACAGTCAGCGCGCCCAGTAGGGACGCGCGCCTTCATCTCGGGTACCCTTGTGTCCTTGCCTCTGCGGCCCGTCCTTCGCCGTTTTCACTGGCCGCCCCCCGCCCGAAGAATCCAACTTCGGCCTCCAAGGGTCTTGCGTCCTTACCACCCGTCCGTAATAAACGTTTTGACTGTATGTTGTTTTGGCTTGCTGCAAATGCAGCGACGTGCCATGGCAACCGTTTCTCGGAAGCCCGCGGAGCGGCGTTGCGCGCCTGCCTTCGTCAGAGCGGGTTCCTCTTCGCGACGCAGCTGTGGGATTATCGACTGGTTCGCATGCCGCGTCGGTTTGTGCCAGTCCCGTCGCGTTCGTGGCCGCAGTTTTTTTGGAGGTGGTGCTGATTCGTATCTGATGGCCTTGAGCGGCCTTCGTACTCTGCTGCAGAACGAGAGTCAACGTCGAATCCGACCTCGCAGGAGGGCGTTTAGAATTTTTCATTCATGCGCGAAGTTCTCCCAGTAGCTCGGGGCGCCCATCCGAGTGCGCGCGATGCTCAACATAGACTGCGCCGCGTATATTGCACCAGGAAGATTGGACCGCTAGATTGCACCGCGTATGTTGCGCCGTATAGCTCGCGCACCTCCGTTGAAGAAGAATTCGAGTTTGCCCCCCCCCTCCCCCGGGGATTCGACGCCCCCCCCCCCCCACGTATTGCAATGGGCGCATGATTTTGCCCCATCGTCCATCCAGAATATGAGTTCATTTCATCCCAGCTAGGCCAGTACCCCCCCCTCGTTTGCAGGAAGTATTATGCGCGCGCACTCGTTGATCGCGAGTCATCAGTTTCCAATGGTCCCTTGTTTCCAAGATGCGCTCGAACCCCCAAAAAACTGATGTTTCAATGCTGTTGTAAGATTTACTACCATTCGTTCCTTCGGCCTGCCGGGCGTCCGAACACATGGTCAAAGCTCCGAACACCGCTCCAACTAAGCCCAAACGCGCGTCCTGAATCCCCAAAGCGGCCCCACGAGGGCCCGGGACGGCCCCAAAACTTCCCATGGGCCGCGCCCTTAAGGCCAGGGGAGGCCCCAACACAAGCCAAATCAGCATCTTCAATCTTCGGGAAGGCGCCATGAGGGCCCTAGACGACTCCCAAACTGCCCATAAGCGGCTCAATGACAGCCCGGGACACCGTCTGGACGCTCCTTAACCCAGGAATTCCAGCTCCCCAGGGCGCCTTCTCAACGTTCACCCAATCGTGCAAACGGGCGAGCGGCAGTCCCAAGACGCCCCGAGGACAGTCCGAGGTGGCTTCGGGATGGGCCACGAGGCCCTCACCGCTTCGGCAGGCCCCCATGTAGATCCCAGAATTCTCCTTCGTTCAGATGGTATTTCGCTACGGAAAGCCGCAGTTTGCCCACAACCCCAGGTTCGCAATCACTTTTCTGGAAATTCTGTTGAGCACCCGGGACTCCAGCAGTTTCGATTTACGCCATTTCGTACGCCCGTGGTCTCCGACTCAGTCTTTGCCCGTCCCAAGTTGATTGCCCCCTGATCCCCTTCCCCCGCTTCTCCGTGATACCAGCCAGCGAGCACGCCTCAAAGGGGAAAGAGGAAGGCGCGACAGGCCAACCGCTCCAACGCTTCAAGAAACAAGGTGCATGGCGCGAAGCGCCAATGCAGCCTTGTATATTTTTGTACATATATACATATGTTTGTGTATAGATGTATATACATTTTCTATGGCACCTTATAGAGTGCGCAGCATATCTTGCATCACATAGGTTACTTTCCCAGACAAAGGAATAGGATCTAGCACCCCCCAAGTCATCCCTCCTCTTGGGTATGTGCAAAGTATCTGTGATTATGTCCAATCGTTCATTCTAAGTATCAGTTCGTATCATCCCATTTGAACCGATTTCTCCAGCCCGACCACCTTCTGCAAAAACACTTCGTGCTCCGTACGGCGTTGGCGGCTCTCGAGGCGTCGTCGATCCTGGACCCAGGAGGTTTTGGCGAATTGCTTCTCAGCGCTCAGAGTCGCAGAACTATGCGCACTGCGTTGGTGCGGGGCCTGCAGGGTGTCCAGACATGATGCGGTGCATGGGCGCCGTTCTCGAACCCAGACATGAGGTGTCGTGATTTCTTCCACGCGTGGTCCCTGGAAGTCCCGACCCGTTCCCCAGGGCCTTTGTTTCGTCCTGAGTCGTTTTTGGATGGTCCCGAGGCTCGGCGAGGGCCACCCAGGCTCGAAGCCTTACGCAAACATCCGTCACGTTTCTTTTTTTTGTTTTGTTTTGCGGCGCGTGGATGTCTGGGTACAAGAGGCCCTCCCCGCGATGCCTTCCGGCCCCCCCGAGGACCCTGGGCGCCTCTCGGCGCGGCCGCGAGTGGCGTCGGCATCAGCCCGGCGGCCGCGGCCGCCGCCGCCTTCGTACATCGGGGGCGCGGCGCGGGCCGGGGTGGACGCCATGGAGCAGGAACCGCGCCCTCTCCGTGCCGGCGGGGGGTCATGCGCTCGCGCCACATGGGACTCGGTGCGTTCGACATGGGTACGGGAAGAGTGAGTACGAAGTGAGTACTGACGGTCGTCAGTACGAAGGCCGTCAGTACGCGGTGGGTGTGCCCGCGGATGGTGTCCATTTGAGAAAGAGGGCCGGCTGTCCAACAGCGGGCTCCGTCGGGGTTGAACAACATTTGACGTTGGGCATCGTGCCCATTTTTTCCACACCCATTTCGGGCGTCCAAACTGACATCCGATCCCTCCCTTCCATCCCTTTCCAACGCGCTGATGCTTTCCTCTCAGCGGACGCGTGTCATAGCCGACCTGGAGCTCCAACAAGAGGGCCCCATCGTGTTATCTAAAGGCTGCCGCCTCTGCCGCCGACCCCATCTGATGCTGGGCAGACGAAGCTGGCGAGTATGACTTGTGTTCAGGAGTCAGCGTTTCGCTCGAGACATTCTCAAAAAAATGCCTTCGGAAGGGTCTTCAAAAACGCAATGTTGTGAATGACGACGCTGACGATGATGATGATGATGATGATGATGATGATGCTGATGATGATGATGATGATGATGATGATGGTGGTGATGATGATGATGATGATGATGATGATGATGATGATGATGATGATGATGATGATGATGATGATGATGATGATGATGATGATGATGATGATGATGATGATGATGATGATGATGATCGGGGCCAGGTGGGAGGCGGGGAGGGGGGCGTTGGGCGTTTTTGGGAGAGGAATCGTGAGGTGAGGGGTCCCAAGAACAGAGGCAATCTGGGTTGGGGATGTCGGGGCCAGGTGGGGACCGGGGAGGGGGGCGTTGAACGTTTTTGGGAGAGGAATCGTGGGGTGGGGGGTCCCAAGAACAGAGGCAATCTGAGGTGGGGATGTCGGGGCCAGGTGGGGGGCGGGGAGGGGGGCGTTGGCGTTTTTGGGAGAGGAATCGTGGGGTGGGGGGTCCCAAGAACAGAGGCAATCTGGGGTGGGGATGTCGGGGCCAGGTGGGGGGCGGGGAGGGGGGCGTTGGGCGTTTTTGGGAGAGGAATCGTGGGGTGGGGTCCCAAGAACAGAGGCAATCTGGGGTGGGGATGTCGGGGCCAGGTGGGGGGCGGGGAGGGGGGCGTTGGACGTTTTTGGGAGGAATCGTGGGGTGGGGGGTCCCAAGAACAGAGGCAATCTGGGGTGGGGATGTCGGGGCCAGGTGGGGGGCGGGGAGGGGGGCGTTGGGCGTTTTTGGGAGAGGAATCGTGGGGTGGGGGGTCCCAAGAACAGAGGCAATCTGGGGTGGGGATGTCGGGGCCAGGTGGGGGGCGGGGAGGGGGGCGTTGGACGTTTTTGGGAGAGGAATCGTGAGGTGGGGGGTCCCAAGAACAGAGGCAATCTGGGGTGGGGATGTCGGGGCCAGGTGAGAGCGGGGAGGGGGGCGTTGGGCGTTTTGGCCAGGTGGGGGGCGGGGAGGGGGGCGCTGGGCGCTTTTGGGAGAGGAATCGTGGGGTGGGAGGTCCCAAGCACAGAGGCAATCTGGGGTGGGGATGTCGCGGCCATGGAGCGGGGAGGGGGCGTTGGGCGTTTTTGAGGGAGAGGCGTGGGGGTCCCAGGTTGTGTTGGGGATGTCTGGCCAGGAGGGGAGGGGGGCTTGCGTTTTTGGGAGAGGAAATCTTGAGTTGAGGGATCCCAAGAACAGAGGCAATCTGGGGCGGGGATGTCGGGGCCAGGTGGGGGGCGGGGAGGAGGGCGTTGGACGGTTTTTGGGAGAGGAATCGGGGTGGAGGGTCCCAAGCAACAGAGGCAATCTGGGGTGGGGATATCGGGGCGGGCGTGGGGGGCGGGAGGGGGGAGGGGGGGGCGTTGGGCGTTTTGGGAGAGGAATCGTGGGTGGACGGTCCCAAGAACAGAGGCAATCTGGGGTGGGGATGCCCGGGGCCAGTGGGGGGCGAAGGAGGGGCGTTGGGCGTTTTTTGGGAGAGAATCGGGGGTGGGGGGCCCCAAGAACAGAGGCAATTGGGGTGGGAGGGCCGGGGGGGGTTGGGGACGGGGGAGGGGGGCGCTTGGCGTTTTGGGAGAGGGGAATCGTGAGGTGGGGGGTCCCAAGAACAGAGGCAATCTGGGGTGGGGATATCGCGGGCCAGGTGGGGGCGGGGAGGGGGGCGTTGGGCGTTTTTGGGAGAGGAATCGTGGGGTGGGGGGTCCCAAGAACAGAGGCAATCTGGGGTGGGAATGTCGGGGCCGGTGGGGGGCGGGGAGGGGAGCGTTGGGCGTTTTTGGGAGAGGAATCGTGAGGTGGGGGGTCCCAAGAACAGAGGCAATCTGGGTGGGGATGTCGGGGCCAGGTGGGGGGCGGGAGGGGGGCGTTGGGCGTTTTTGGGAGAGGAATCCGTGGGTGGGGGGTCCCAAGAAGAGAGAACAAGGCAATCTGGGGTGGGGGATGTCGGGGCCAGGTGGGGGGGCGGGGAGGGAGGGCGTTGGACGGTTTTTGGGAGAGGCAATCGTGGGGTGGGGGTCCGCGAGGACAGAGGCGATCTGGGTGAGGACGTCGGGCAGGTGGGGGGCGGGGAGGGGGCGCTGGCTTTTGGAGAGGAATCTGGGGTTGGGGGCCCCAGGAGGGACAGAGGGCCAATCGTGGTGGGGGGATGTCGGGGGCCAGGTGGGGGGCGGGAGGAGGGCGCTGGCGTTTTTGGGAGAGGAATCGTGGGGTGGGGGGGCCCAAGAACAGGACAATCTGGGGTGGGGATGTCGGGGCCAGGTGGGGGGCCGGGAGGGGGGCGTTGGGCGTTTTTGGGAGAGGAATCGTGGGGTGGGGGGTCCCAAGAACAGAGGCAATCTGGGGTGGGATGTCGGGGCCAGGTGGGGGGGCGGGAGGGGGGGCGTTGGGCGTTTTTGGGAGAGGAATCGTGGAGTGGGCGGTCCCAAGAATAGCCGACCTGGAACTCCAACAAGAGAGCCCCATCGTGTTATATGCGATCGGAACATAGGAGCTGCGTGCAGAGGAGGAGGAGGAGGAGGAGGAGGAGGAGGAGGAGGAGGAGGAGGAGGAGGAGGAGGAGGAGGAGGAGGAAGAGCAGGAGGGGGTGGTGAGGAAGGAGGAGGAGGAGGAGGAGGAGGAGGAGGGAGGAGGAGGAGCAGGAGGGGGTGGTGGCGGGTGAGCAGGAGGAAGAGCAGGAGCAAGAGGAGCAGCAGCGCGAATTGGAATGCAAGGAGCGGGAGGAGCAGGAGGACCAGGGGAAGGCAGAGGAGGGACATGGGGGGGGCACAACGATGAGAAAGGACTCGGATCTAGAAAAGTGGCCCAAGCTGGGGCGAGAGCACGATTTTGAACGACGGGATCAAAGCGCCGATCCGAAAATGAGGCCCACGCTGCAGTGTGAGCACCATTTTGAAGCACCGAAAACAGCTGGAAGAAGCAGTGCGCGGAGAGGGCTGGACATCTTCCCGACAGAGTCGGGGAGAGGGGAGTAGCATTCATGATGCGTAGTTGTTCAGGGGGGGATGCATCGACCCCCAGATGCCCATTCCTCGGTTGCAGGGGCCCAACAGCCCGTCTGGAGAGTGGGGGGGAGCGTTTTCGTCGGTTCACGGTGGGCTTTCCAGCCGCGGGATGCTCTCCACTGGCTGCGCCCTGCCGAGAGCGCTCCCCGGGTGCCCGAAAAGTCCCGAGCGGCTGAGGCAGATTCCCGAGAGTGCCCCCCCCCGCCCCCTCCGCCTTCTTTTCGCAACGAGGGGGGACCTGGGTACAGTGCCGTCTTTAATACATGCTCCGCGTGCGGATCATGCATTAAGCATGCAGGGATCTAGTATTAAAAACAATGAGGAGTTCCTGCGCAATGTTATTCAAAACTTGATCATGTATGAGAAATCTATTTTTCTGTAAAACATCCCATGTATTAAAAACTGCCCTGTAGTGCCAGATTCCGAGTGGGAAGGCGCCTGGCTGCGAACAGACAGCTCCCCAAGAGGCAGCCCCCCGGGCAGGTGGCCGCGGCTGGGCTCCCCTCGAAGACTCCGCCGGCTGGGAGGCGACCAGGCAGAGGTCTCCTCCATTCTCCTCCCTCCTCCTCCCTCCTCCTCAGTCCTCCTCCTCCTCCATCCTCCTCCATCCTCCTCCTCCTCCTCCATCCTCCTCAATCCTCCTCCTCAATCCTCCTCCTCCTCCTCCTCCTCCTCCTCCTCCATCCTCCTCCTCCATCCTCCTCCTCCATCCTCCTCCTCCCTTCCTCCATCCTCCTCCTCCTCCTCCTCCTCCTCCTCCTCCTCTCTCGTCCTCAATCCTCCTCCTCCTCCTCCTCCTCCTTCCCTCCTCCATCCTCCTTAATCCTCAATCCTCCTCCTCGTCCTCCTCCTCCTGGTCCTCCTTCCTCCTCCTCCTCCTCCTCCTCCTCCTCCTCCTCCTCCCTCCTCCTCCTCCTCCCCCTCCTCCTCCTCCGCGTCCTCTTCCTCCTCCTCAATCCTCCTCCTCCACCTCTCCTCCTCCTCCTCCTCCTCCTCCTCCTCCTCTCTCCTCCTCCTCCTCCTCCTCCTCCTCCTCCTCCTCCTCCTCCTCCTCCTCCTCCTCCTCCTCCCTCCTCCCTCCCTCATCGGCAGGCCCCCCGATCGGCCCAGGCGCGGCCTCGGCAGACTTCGGCCCTGGGGCGCGGCGCGCCCCCAGGGTCGAAGTGCGGGAGGCGGCGCCGGGGCGTGGCGGCCGGCTCGGGCTGCTCGGGGGGCCTGCTGAGGCCAGCTGGGACTCCTGGAGGGGCCTGCTGAGCCGACCACCCGTAATCAGAGCGTGAGTCACCTGCCTCGCTTTCGCTTCCAGGCAAAACCAAGTCATACCACGCGCCTCCTCATCAAGCGGCCTGACCAGTACAGGCCGTAGTTTGGCATTGCTTGGTATCTCTTGGAAGCGAGGGTCGAATTGCTGGAGGCGGCGCCGGGGCGTGGAGGCCGGCTCGGGCTGCTCGGGGGGCCTGCTGAGGCCAGCTGTCAGGAGGGGAACAGTCACACAGACACAATTCATCGTCGATCCCCGGGAAAGTATGGGGAAACATGGGGAAGTGGTGGGGAAGACGAAAATCCAGAAAATATGGGAGAATATGGGGGGCGGAAGAGGGGGGTTGATGACTAGGGGGGGTGGATATCATGGCGGTGGCCACATGGCGCCTCTTCTTGTTTCATGACGTCCGTGGCCCCCCCGCTGGGCCGCGCACATGCCGCCGGTCATGATTTGCACCCCCCGCTCTTGGACGCCCCCCTCGTGACCGCTCCCGATGCTGAGGCCAGCTGGGACTCCTGGAGGGGC